CTCAGCCATTGCTAGTAAAGACTCAGCATTTTCATTCACAGAAAGTTTTAAAACCAGGTTTCACAGCAAGCTGCAGAAAACTGCTAAGTGAAGTATAACTGTCTACACTATGAAAAAAACCCCAAAAATATCCCAACAAAGCAGTTGTTTATAAATGTTAGCTACTTCTTTAGTTTTATCACGTAACTTTTATATTAGGTCTTAAATTTCCTGGCACACCCACTAAAACAGTTTTGCTGCTGCTAATGCCCTTACTATCCAACTAGTGAAATAATGACATGTTATGCTACCTTTAAGGATTGATTCTACCATTAGTGGTTGAAGTACCTTATCTTCTCAGGCATCAAATTGTTAAACAACAGAACTGTGAGATATTCAGGTTTAATTTCAGGAATAATCTTATCCAGATCTCTAAGCAGTAACAGCTGTTCTTCGTGAGTTTAAGAAGTACTATGAAACTAATATTTTTAGTGTTTGTGTTTGTATTTGTCAAATGCAAACATGTCAGCCTTGGGAATTAACAAAGCAACACAAAAATCATCTAAAAATAAAAATCCATGGAAGCAAAGGAGTTTAGAGTCAAGTTTTTCCACACTCACAAACAAAGCTCTGTGGTTTCCCTGCAGGAATTTGTTGAAACTAAATAATTTTATTAGAATATGTTTATTTAGAATGGGGTTTTCAGGAGAACAATTGTAGCCAGAAAAAAAGAGATGACCACACTCAAATCAGCAATGAAAGTTCCCACTGATTTTGATACCAGAAGAATTTGATGCAGTGACTTTAAAAATAGCTTCATGTAGTTTGAGAAAACCTGGGAGAGAATTAAGTTACCACAACTTGATAATGTGTGAAATCATGCTCAGTCTAATGCCTTCTGCAGCAGTTATTTGCCTTTAAAAAGATCTCCAAAACCTCATAAAATCATGAGAGCTTGAATTCAACAGGTAAAAATAACCACTTAAATTGAAAAAAAAAAAGTTACTGCATAATAAGAGGAGATATGAACTTATTTACATAGAATTAGACTAAAAAAAGGATTTGTTTAAATCCCTAAAAGAAAAAAAGTGTGATTGTTAGTAAACTCTGCTGTTTTACAGTACTTACTTGAATTAACTATTTGCATTTTTTCAGACCCTTGATTTGTTTCTCTTGGAAAAACGCTACTCTTTACCTTTTTTTTTGTTTAGTATAACAGCAATGTGGCTGAAGTCTGTGTGGTTCACTGGGAGTTCATTGGGATATATTTGCAATTCCTGAAGCAAAAAACCGGTATTTTATCTTGAGAAGGAGTTACATTTTTTGAACTTATTGAATTTTTCAGAGATCAGCATGAAGAGTTCTGATTAAATGCTTACTTCAGCCTTTTAAAGGCTTCTTGTGTCCCTCTTGCCTAAGGAGGTCGTACACGAGGATTGCTCTGTAAACATCAGATTGTACAGAATTGGCTCTGTGCACCATACCAGGCACACAAAGAGGAAGTCAAATGGCTTACCTCTCACTTATCAACTAGTTTATTTTTCACGCCCAAAAAAGGCTGCTACAAGAGCAGCTGCTACTTCGTAAATAATTTAATGGCTGCTGTTAAGTAGAGCTGTCAATTTTGCAAACAATATTAAAAGGATATTTTCATTTTACCATGGATTTGCACGTTTTGAAATGCATTTTTATCCCCAAAAGTCCTGTAGAAAATCCTGGACAATGGAAACAGCTTCCGATTTGCAGACACAGATTCAAAAGAGAATAGATATGGTTAAATAATGACAGATGTGTGAGCAGGCAAGGCGTGATATCTCATCACCTGCATGCATTACCTAGAGAGCATCCTGCTCATTAAAGCATAGGACAACTTTCAGTGGGCTTGTAAAGAAAGGTATTTGGCTCTTTCAGACAGGTGTGAGATGTAGCAATAGCAATTACCACCGAATTTTTGAAGTGCAGAATGTGCATTGTGTCATTGTATGGTTGAGTGTACACAATACTATCCCAATATCAATCATGACAAATGGGATTTTCTAAAAATATTTTTTTAGCACAAAAGATTAATATTATTGCATCTGGTAAATTACTTTAATGATGAAACCACAACCTTAGCACAATACCAACTCTCAAATTTTTAAAATTCAAATTCAGATTAAAATCCCCAGATCTTAACATGTTAAGCAAATAGTAGTTTGGAATTTAAACAGCAGGAATTTATTGTGCAATAAGGCAAAGGAGTATCTCGGATTGCCTGAATACAAAATCTTAGGTGAAAGTTAAGATCTCCCCAGTCCTAGCACAAAGTCAGTCTCTATCAAGCACCAAAGCCTATCCAGAGCCCTCATCTAGATGTGAGGACTACCACCATGTCCCAAATCTGTGTCATTGTTGCCAAAATCCTTCCCTTTCTAATTAAAGGTGGGATATGTTGCCTCCAATTTGGGAAGGGCTGTGCTGTTTAAATAGTGTTCCTTGCGCATTTGTTTTTCCTGCTTTAGCATTTCTCACAGGAAGCAGAGTCCATGTCCTACAACGAAAATATTTATTTCTTTACTCTGTAGGTCATATCTGATGGTTTTGTGGCTTTGAACCACTCCTGACATCCACACTGCAGCTCTATCCCCAGACCACAATAGGTTCAATGCTCAAAACTTGAAGTCAGTTCCAGATATTTATTTTAGATATGGAAGTGCAGAGAAATCTATTTGCACTCCCGTGGGTAAGAACCTCCTCTTCCCCTGGTTTTGTGCTTGCAGATGTCAAACTGCTCTGTTTTCCATGAGGTTCCCATGGATCCAGTAGCATTATTTAACAAGGTGTAGCTGTGCTATATCCACAGCACAAAAGTATCAGAGTCACTGGCACAGAGTCAACTATAAAAATTAATTGCCCATAGCACTCATATACTAGAAATATGGCACACAAGGACTCTATACATCCAAACTGTAGCCCACTCCACGTTAAAAAGCTACTGGGTACCATCTGGAGAATGTGTAAGAGTTACACTGAAGTGCTTGGTATAAGGATTTACTCAGTGCTGGTTCTCAGCAGGGTCAAGAAAACACAGATCAGTAGTGTGACAGAAAGAGATCAAGAAAAAGTTGACCCAATTCTAATTAGTTTCTTTTCTCAATACACTCTCCTCTTTCAGCATCTCTCAGGGTTTTATGTTCTGAGCTGTCCCACTTATTGGAGCTGGGTCAGCCTCAGGAGTGGTAGTTCAGGAGAAGTCATGGACATCATATATTGGTGAAAGTTTGTAGTTTTAAAGGGTAAGTTATATAGGCCTTAGATGTTACTGAGTAAGTGGAAAAAGAAAAAAAGGAGAAAAGAAAAATGAATCACACTGTACATCTGAGCTTTGACATTTTGCAAATTCAAAGGTTTAACGTTCTGTTTCTTAACAAACTCTGGCAAAGTGAAGAGAGAGGTTCTTCAGGACCAAAGGCTCAGTTCCAGGTAGGAGCTTAGCAGGTAGGAGATCTCCAGGTAGGAGATCTGTGTTCTCAAGCAGAGGCTGTCAAAGTTTGTGTCACAAGACCTGCAATGGATTTTGCCTAATTTTTTTTCCCCATCAACAGGAATTTTGTTTAAGCCCTTTCCCAGAACTCTTCTTGTATATGAAAAGCAGCGTCTCACGAACTTTATAAGTTCTCAATGCTGTTCCTCTCCTTCTCTTGGCTTCTCATTCTGCAAGCCTCTAGAGAAACCTCCCTTACTTGCCCTGGATTTGAGTTTCTGAGATGTAAAGCATTGCCCGTACACTTGTTCTCTCCTCTGCTTTTATTTCTATTTGGATTTTTTAATTCAAGATGCACTAGTGCTGGTTTAGCACCTTTAGTGTGGTGTGCATGCTTGAGGTGTGCTGCCTTCAAGTTGGGCATTTTCAGGCATTCCTCACATGGCTCCGCATGTGGGAACCAGCAACACAGACAGACAACATCAGCAACCTGAGAAAGCCAAACCTTGCCACACTAAACCCTCCCTCACACCACAGATGCCAGTAATACTTAGGTGGCATGAAGAGTAGAAGTAGTCCACAGCAGTCCCACAGCACTGGATTTTTAGGACTCAGAGGTTCAGAAATGTTTATGAGGAGATTTGCCCTCCTAAGCCAGTGAGCTTCCTGGGTCTCCAGATGAAATGTAAACCAACAGCATGGCAACAGTCGCCAGGGTGTTACATCCTCCCCACTGCCCACGGTGCCACCACGGGTATCATGCAGATTAGCTTTTACAGGATCCAAGACGGCAGAAAACAAAGGGAGAAGAACAGGATTAGAAGAGGAAGAAATGCAGAAGGGCCTTAAAATTTTGAGAAAAATCTTTTAAAGTCTTTATCTGTAACAGGATTTTTTCCCTTAATCCAAACTCTGCTAGCCTGCGGTTTGTTTAAAATTTTTAATAATTTATTTTAAGTCTTACACTTAGACTATTCAATTCCTCCTCTATATTTTTAAGTGGTTCAGATATTTTTTAACAATTTCCTTTACCACAGGGCTCAGACTGGAACTTGTGAATTGGATGCCCATGTTTCACCTACTGAAGACTTCAGGTCTTGATTGTGAACCAAAATATTTTAAAACAATGATAAGGGAAGTCTTTGTTTTTAAAGGAAGAAGTTACACATACCCTTTGGAGAACTAGTCCAATTCATAAGACTTTGATCCCTATGGCAACAGGGAAATGCTCATGCAGCAGCCTTTGACAGACAGCTGGACCTTCTGTAGTTGACTATTAAGAGAAGGCATTTCCTCCTTGCTAACTACAGCCAATACACACTCAGTCTCTGTCTTTCAAAAACTCTTGGACCTGTTTCTTGTTGCTGGTCATTGGCTACTTGGCCAATGTGAAAGCCAAGGGTGAAAGCTGTGGAAGCATGTGGGTTTGCATTCAGTTTGATCCCTTGCAAGACAGGATACCTTTGTCCTTATGGGCATCCAAGGCAAACAGTTGATAACTTGGTTGGCACTTTCAGATGAAGTAAGTGTGATACCATATCTTGATTCCTCTTAACAGAACATCTGGGGAAATCAGATGAAGAAGACCCATCTTGTGAAGCTTTCACTGACCAATCTGCAGAGCAGGGAGGAGGGTGCAACCCACCTGCTCCCGGCCCTGCTGACAGACCACCAGTGCAGAGCTGTTCCTGCAGGTGAGTTGTGAATGGTTTTGAAATGTATGTTTGATATTTTGAACCTTCTTGACCACTTCAGTTGTTATCTGCATCATAACTGTAAACACAATAAAACATTAACACACTAAGAACTAAGAAAACCTGCAAGCCCAGAGGACACGGCATAGACACAAAGAAATCTCCAGACACATAGACAGTTTGCAAGCTTCTAAAACGCACTAGCACAACCATTTTCAAATTAAATAATTTGGGCAAAGGCAGCCTTGCTTGTTGAATGTGGAGAAAAGAGAAATGCAGCAATGGAAACGTAGTAAATTAACATTTGCAGGCGGTGAACAGAGCTTTTGAAAACCTCTCATGATCTTTACAGAGTTCTGTAAACACATCACTAGCCTGTAATCAAAATCCCTGGGAAGATCTTTTGAGAGTGCCCTTCTTCTGAAACTTATTAAAACCTTGAACTTAGCTATGAGAGAAACAACAGTTCTGATAACTGGGATTTGTTTCCAACACTTTCGTTGCTAGGGAACCTGCACACCACCTTGCAAGGGACAGGTAATTAGAAAAAAACAACTCTTCTGCAAAGATTCAAAACGCATTTGTTTCTCTTATTTTTCTTTGTGCATTCTTGATAGAAAAAAGAACAGTTATTTGTTCCCAGTGAGTTTATAAATGTGTAGTATATCAACTTATTTTTATTTTCTATGCCTGCTGTCTATAGGAATGTTTTTGATAAATCTGGTGTGAGTATGACATTGAAGTTCCACATTGCATTCATCCCAGCCATTTGTACATAACTGTGCTGAACACATAGTTCATGTGGGCAAAACACACATTTCCTTCTCTTTCTGGAACTCTGTATGTTAACTAGTTTTCTGTCTCCCCTCACATGGGGATATTGAGCTTTTTCAGTATTCAGTGTTATATTCATTTTACCAGCTGCACACCACAAGTGAAGTATTTGTTTTATACATTGCCTACAACTTTCAGGATATGGGGCACACTCTAAAGCTTTCAGAGCTATCTAATGGGTTTGGAGGTGGGCCTGACTTTAAAAATACAGTACACAGTTATTCCTTCTTAACTTTTGAGTTGAAGATACCACTGTACTGATATGGGCAAATTATAAAGACAGTCTCCGTGCTGGAGGCTGCACTGTCTCCAGAGGGCTCTCCAAATGCTCCAGTAAAGGAACTCCTTTTGCAGCACACCAAAGCTGAGACTAATCCCAACATGCCTCTGATCCCAAGGTATAAACACGCTATCCTCCCTCCCTTCCGCTCACCTTTTCCCTTTTAGAGGTTGCTATGACTCACACATCTCTGGCAGTCCCACGTCTGCCTTCATCAGGCGTCTCGGGAGAGAGGCTGAGAGCTCGACTTTGTCCCGACTCATGGGCTCCCCACCTGACCACGTTTGCCTGCACCTACCCGGGTGGGTCACCATACATTGCTGAGCCTCAGAAGTGGTTCCCTGCAATCTCCAGAGCTGTATAAATTGCTGGGATTTCCCAAGGCTTTTGGTTGGAGAACATAAAACAAGCTCCCACCCATGCACCACCTCCTCTGCCAGCGGACACCTGGAGATGCCACTGACCTCCACTGGGAGAGGCCAGAGATTTCAGTGGCCGCTTACAATGCTCTGGAAGAAAACTTCTCACGGCTCTCCTGGCTGGCCACAGCTGCTTGAAGCCTGCCAACAAGAATTTAGGTTTCGAAGGCACTCCCTGTGACAACACCAGCCAGCTGGGAAGGTCACCTGCTGAGGCACAGGTGACTCCAACAACTTTTCCCTGTGCTTAAAGAAAGCCACAGGTGGTTACAAGCATGCAACTGTGGTTTGGTTTGCCTCCAGTTTTACAGAGTTGCTCTTCTACAATGAATCTGCTACCAAGTCTGCATCAGACTTCACATGAAGAAATCTCTATAAAGCGAGGAAGTTTCAGTGTTGGGACCCTACATAAATAGGGCTATTCTCTGTTCTGCAGTCATTGCAGTGCTTCATCTCTCTGCCCCAGATGCTCCAGCATTACCAGAGACTTCTGGGTTTGTAACTGGCTTCTTCTGGGTAGTAGTGGTTCTTTAAGTTCCTGTAAGAGGCCACACCTGGACTTTGCAGTTGTTCAGCAAGAGTATCCAATGGCTGTTCTTTCTTTTTTCAGAGTCTCTTGTTGAGAGACTGCCTTGGCTTTACATTTTGGTACCAGCTAGTCACACCAATTACTGTGTTACTGTATTTCTAACACAATCATCCCTGTCAGACCTGGATGCTGTCGGAAATCTGCATTTCATTCAACTTTTTGGAAGCTCATCTCCAGCACATACTTCTTCCTTATATTTCAGCTCTTGAGACAGCTGAGGCATATCTCATGAGTTACATCTAGGCAGAAGTCGTGAGCAAGGGCCCTGTGAAGACTAGCAAAAGACATTGCCTACTAAACCTTGTTTATGATGCCCTCTGGGGACTTTGACATCTGCATATGTGTAACTGAAGCCCAGGTTTTGGGCTGTGTGATTAAAAAATCACTTCAACTAACTCTTCACATCATCATCTCCTTTGCTTAGCCAGGAAAGCCATAATCTGGAATAAAGATGGGACCAGAAAATGGACAGAAAAGGCTGGAAACAAAATAATCATTCATAAAACAATCTCAAGGGATTATTTCTTTAAGAACTTATTCTTGATTTAACTCAATGATGTTTTATGAAAGCAACAGTTGCTGTTGCTGCAAGTAGAGAACTGTGGTCAGCTTTCTGAACTGTACACACACACACACACAAAATTATGGGCAGTAAAGATTTCAGGACAACATTCCAGAAAGCAGTGTCTCATTTGCTGCCTGATTTCTTTCACTATAACATAAAAAGGATAGTTAAACACCACCAACAAAGCACAGTCCAGTGAATAATTTTATAAGATAAAGATCTCACATCTGGCTTACATTTGGCATTGACCATTGCCTTCTCTCCTTCAAATGTCACCTATATTTTAGCCTGGAGGTTCTTGTCCTCCCATTATTCTTGTTATCTGTTTATGAAAACGTTTCGATCAGCATAACCCTGCAGCAGAAGCCTTACTTGAAGAGGATATTTTGGATGCTGTTTTTCAGAGGACCAAGGTAGGATACTGATCTTCTCAGCCACACAAAGGAGCTGATTGACTGCCTATGAGACACCTTCCTTCTAGTGAGTGCCTGTGACCATGTCAGAGTCTGGCACCAGAGTCACACAGAGTTGTGACTGCAGTCATTGCTCTGCCACTGGCCTTGGTAGCTGCAGAGTGGGTTTCCTGCCCATCAGTGTGTCATTCTCTTTCCTTACCATAATCTGTTGTGGGCTTAAATATCTTCCATTTGTTGGCAGTGTCAGGATGTGTGTGAAGCTGGGTTGGAAGGACTTCTAGCTCATTATCCATCTACCTAGTCCCCATCCCCCAAACCAGAACTACTCCCTTTTTAACTAGGCTATCTCTTATTTTAATACAAGTGATTAGGATGGAAGGCAAAAGTGCATGTCATCACAGTGATTTTTATCATAAAACTTCCTTGTTCATTATGTACTTAAAAATGCACACATTCCTACTTCTCTACAAAGTTTTTATTTAAGTTCATGAGCATGTCTGTATATTTTGAATCTGTAGCATCATTGACCAAACCTTAGGAAGTTCTAACAGCATCTTTCAGACCTGTAAGTTGTTTATTAAATCAGCATAGGGAGAGGGAATTAGAGTTATCCCACAGCATCCCTTTTTGTGTGCCACATGAAAAACAACATTAAATGGATTTCTTACTCCTACTTGACTGTTTTGTGCAATTAAAGTAAGCATTCATCACTGTTATGGCTTCTACCTTATTCAAAAGTCGTCTATAACCAGGAAGCAAAATAACCAGTCTTAAAATAGCGGGAATATAGGTTGAGGAATAACGTCTGCCAGGTCCAGGTGTAATCCTACCAGCTGCTTTATCTGCCTAAACAGTTTTCAGTTCCAAATTAACTCTGTTAATAAGTGTGATGCAGGGATGTGGTGATGTGGTGGAGGAAATTAATGTCAGAAGTGGAATCCAGCAGCTCAGCTGGATCCAGTGCTGGTCCTGCCTGGTTGCTGCAGCCTTCCCTCTCTTTCCTTCTCTTCCTTCTCATTCTTTGCCACTGCTTAGCCCAGGAGTTTCATATGCCTCAAGAATGCAACAACAGGCAGATATAGATGGCTTTGTGCAAAGTTGCACTCTCAATTTCTACACCTGTAAAACTGAGATAATACATTACCAAATTCAGAGGGACAGATTAATCAGTCAGTGTGCATACTGCACCTTGAAAATACAAAATTAACTCTTCTTAGCCCATAAGTGCTCAAGATGCATCAAGGTGTGCTCCATGGCCTCTTGATTCCAGACAAAGGTCCTCTTGATTAAATTAGATTGCTAATGTATTAACGCATTAGCACACTTGAAGAAAGAAAAGTTTGAAAAAGCAATTTGGCTTCATCACATGAATGGCGTGTATATTTAATGGAAATTTTTCCAGCATTCACAAAACAAAGAAAAATCAATAAAATGTCTGCCAACTGTTCCACTGGAAACATTTTATAATCTATAGCACCGAGAATCCTGAGCCAAGATAAACCAGCGTTGCTGACAGAAAATACTGACAATTATTTTACATTGATTCAACTTGGCCCAGCCCAGACTGACCTTGTTTATTCATCTCAGTCTCTTAATTCATATTAACTTGGCATTAAAATGGGACATGTGGCATGTAGGCTGAAGACCCATTTCTGTATCTTAGACTCAGATAAATGTAGTGCATTGAGTACTTCCAGTGCCTTGAGCTCTTAGGTAGATTTATATGCATTAGACAGAACTGGTTAAGTTCCTTTTATCCCCACTGGGCTTTTCATGTCTGTTGACTGTAAAACTAGAAGCTCAGTAGAGGTAACATCTTCCTCTAAGCCTTTGGATATACATGAAATCCTCCTAGTATTGGTAAATTTTAAAGACACATCCAAAGAGGATGGAGGGTTTTAAGCTCTTTTAAAATATAAAAATAGAAGGGTTATGGCAATTTGGCAGCCAAAAAAGCAGTTTGTGGGTCTCAGCAGAATCCGAGGCCGCATGTAAGAAAGCTGATCAAGACACTACGGAGGAGATAATGGGGTTGAAGAGCAGAAGAATCCCCGTGCTGTTGCAACCAGCATAATCTGGTCTCCAATAAAGTTTCTTAGTTTCTTATACTGAACCAATAAAGCTTAGTGTGATGGGAGAGTTGCATTACTGCAGCTTAAAAATGTGTCGAGAGAAAGCTGATGAGGAGAGGTGGTTTAAGTTGCTTTACATGTGCCCAGATGCTTGCATGGCTGTCTTCCAGCTGGTAGTGGGAAGACAAAAACATGGGGAAAATCTCAGCTTTTAAAAAAATTATTTATATAATCATCAGTAATAAAGGGCTTTTTATGCCTGGAATGTATTATGTATATTATCAATGCTGAGTAAGATCTTGCGCTGTGGCAGTGAAGAAATTGGGTGCTGCACAAAAGCATTCACATTTTTGTTCTTACAGCTACATTGCTGTCGTACCTGAAAACCACCCTTGAGTAAAACACTACTTGAGTCAAACATGACTGCATCCACAGAGGAGGAAAAGCTACCCAGATGATGAGAATCCTTCCAAAAGAGTTCCCAGTTGGCCTGGCACTGGATGTTTAGTTTATTTTCTCTGCTTGACTCATTCTTGATGAAAGCAATGCTCCCTTGGACTTCACTAAGAGCTTGGCAGGTTGTGGATGACAGGACAAACAACAAGTCAGCAAGCCAAGATGGCACAATGTGGCCTCTAGGTTTCCAGTTCCACTGCACTGGGAATGGATTGCCTTTCCACATGCCTGTGTAAGCAGAGATTAATGATGGCTGAAGAAACCAAGACTAGCAAAACCCCCCAAAAAATAAACAAAACCACCCCCCCCCCACAAATTTAATCTGCATTTTCCATAACACATAGCTGATGCTTTCTTCCCTGCACCTCCTTCACAACTTAGATTTCATTGATGAAAGTGGTGTAGGGACAAAAATTTCAGAAAATCAGTGCTGTTTTCTGGGTCTAATATCCTGCTCTCCTGGCACCTGCCCATCTTCATCTGTGCAGGGCTCCCACCGGTGCCTGGTGCCTGCTATGTGTCTTGCACATCCCCAGCCTGTCCTGCTTAACAAAACTGTAATTACTCAAAAAACTGCCAGCTTTATACCTCCTCTTTGAATGACAGGACAGTGCTGGAGCAACTACATGGCCAAATGAGCAATCCTACTGACGCTCAGTCAACAAACCTACTGGCATCTGATAGAAAAGAGCTGCAGTTTGTAGCCAGGAAATTACACAGGCTGCTCTATACTTGAAAAGATAGCAAACAAACAAAACAGCTTTGCTCTGCTCTGAAGTGTCTCCCCAACTCTGCAATTGCTCCCTCCCTGTCTATCACTTCTGTTTTTCCAAGACCCACCAGCTGCAGACTGGCAGAGGACACTGAGCCTGGAGCAGCTGGCCACACAACCTCCCTGATCAAGAAAACCTTTTCCAGCAGCCAGGAAGGTAAGTGAACAAGTCTTTTTCAAATATGTACGGGGGATGAAACTAGAAATATTGGTAATTCATTTGGGTACAGGAGAAAAAACAAGGTTTTACAGCACAAGCTGTAAAAGGCAGGACTCAGCTACTGGCTCATGGAAAGTAGAATAAGTCAGCCAATCGCCTGAATCTCCTTATCTTGCAGCAGTATCCTTGATTTAACACAAACAGGCAGGGTTTGTTCCTCCCAGCTGTTGTGGCTCTGTTACTCTGTGCAGGAGGCAGCAGCAGCAGAGCCTCTCCACTTCCATGGCATGGGAAGCAGCAGTGCATGCAGTGGGGCTCTGGAGGAAGCGAAGGCAGCTGCCTTGCTTCAGCAGCGCTTGGCATTCCCATCACAGCAGAGCTCAGGGAATGCAGCAGTCCAGCAAAGGAGCAGTCCAGCCCGAGAAGGTCATGGTTAAAGAGCTGTCCCGTGAAGGCAGCCAGGCAGGGACAGGTCAGAGTGTTTGCACAAGGGGTGAGACAAGGACTTTTATCTTTTGCCCTGTCCAGCTGTCCCATTAGGTAGGAATGGAGCTAGTCTCCAGGCGTGGGGAAGCCAGGTGGTTCCTACAGCCACAGCTGAAAGAGATCATTTCAAACAAGCCAGTTATGGACACACTTCCACCTTACAGAGAAGCTGAACTAACAGCTTGCCACTGCCACAATGGGACAGTCCTGCTACCCCCTCACCACCTTCTTCAACTCACATTCTTGGGACCATGCAGGGAGCTGACAGCACATTACCTCAACCCAAAAAAGCTGTTAGTTTTCTTTCCCGTGGGCTTTTGTCCATCCCATGAACCAACCTGCCCTGTGTGAGGATTAAAGACACCACAGACAGCACCATGCGAGGGGCAGGAGGACACTGCCTGCAGCAGGACTTCTTTTTGATGTTGGCAGCTGTTAATTCGGCTCAAGCTGTAACATGAAGCTTCATCTTGAAGCAGCTCCTGCAGCAACCTGGCAGCACACAGCCCTCCCAAGACAGGAGGCAGTCACTCAGGCAGGCAGCCTTTACCGAGCCCCAGCACCCCAGGGCTACCCTGCTGCAGAGAGAGAGGTGTCCTGCAGCTACGACTGTCGCAGGCTGTCTATCCCAGTCCTGCAACAACTCTCCACCAAGCTGGGACTACGTGGGATCCCTGATCTGCTGGTGGCCTTGCATCTCCATGCTGCCGCATCCACAAAAATCATGGTTGCTTTAACTTGTTGTGACGTTTGAGAGAATATACATATCCTATGTGTATAGACTTGTATAAGCAATATATTAAGTATTTTAAGTCATCCATTCAATAACGTGATATAAAATAGCTTTGTTTTATCAAAAAGTGAAAGTTACCTAATACCTCTGTTTATTTGGGTTTTTCAGTGAGTTAAATGGAACGTAAATCACATGGTGGGTGTTTTTGTTGTTTTTTTTTTGTTTTAAGGAAATATGAGAGCCATTCCTTCAGAGCAGGTAACTCATTTCTGATTTATTATTTTATTTCTGTTTATTATTATTTACTCTAGTTTGAAGCTTCCTGAAACTCCCCAGGCCTGTCCCTGCAAGCTGTCTGCCTGCAGGGCTCTTGCTGGAATTGGTAAAAATGCTCCCATGTGCTTCTGCTAGAGTAGGGCTTCACCTGCTGCTTTGTATTGAGCACAGCACATAAAAGTCACATCCTCCATCCATGTTTATCTTACACAAGCTAACCAGCACTTGGATTGGCACTTCCAAGAGGGAGATTGCAGGGAAAAGGAGTGAGATGCTATCCTAAGGTTTCGTTACAGCTCTGAACTGGTTTAACTGCAAGGTGCTGCCAGTAGAGGTGGTCTATCCCTTCCCATACTGCCAGCCTCCAGGCCTGTGCCCCCTCCCTCTTCCACACTGGCTCACACACGTCCAGCCTGCGGGAAACTCACTGTGGGGGGAGAGAAGAAGACTTCCATGTGGGCAGGGAAAACCCTATCCTGCCCCCCATGTCCTTCATCTGCCACAGGGACATTCCCTCCCAGCCTAGTTTGGGATACCACGTGGTGGGGAGTCAGTAGGGGTGCACACAGAGCACAGGTACATAGGGCCAGCCTCTCTCCAGAGCTGATGAGTCAGCAGCACACAGCACAAATGTGCTTCCTCAGTTCTACTTTAAAGGAAAAACTGAAATCAAATATAACAAATGATAAAATAAATCTTGTGGCAGCACGGATGAAGGCACAAGAATGCCTGAGTTTTAGCCTCCTTCCAATTACAATTCCTGTTTAAACTTTTATTTTTGGGGCCAAAGTATTCAGTGTTTGGCCTCAGTGCAAGCAGATCATTAAAAAAAAAAAAAAAGAAAGGAAACACTTCAACCTTCCAGCAGAGCAGGATGGCACTTCTTTGTTTCTTTCATTACAAAACCAGCCTGTGCCAAGTAAAATTGTGCTCTAAGAGCTGTTCTACCAGTCCTGAAGCACTGAGGAAGAACACACAGCAGCCCCACCTCTGCAGCTTCCTGCAGGCCCCTGTGCATTTGCACTGGGTGGAGGATCGGCATGGGCTGGGGACCAGGTGCCAGAGTTCACCACATCAGGGTCGCACCACAGGGAAATCCTCATCTCTCAGGACCTCTCCATTGGCCTTCAGATGATTTCGGTGGCCTCAGGACACAGAGTGAGGTAAAACACAGCAGCAGTGATGGTCTGGAGACATTGGTGGGATCCCTGGATTTGCAGCTGGGTTAGCAGCAGTTAACTGTTCCTTCCCCAAGCTCTGTGGAAGATCTCCTTGCCTTCACATAAGCAGTTGAATTAATAAACTCCAAAGTTAATTTGAAATCTTTGGACTATAACAATGAAATCCACAAGCCCAAACATTCAGGCTGTGTAAGGAGAGTGATGCACAGAAGAAAGCTTTTGATTGATTTGTTTTGATTTCAGCACACATCACAGAGCTGCTTGTGCACAGGAAAATGGGGCACTTCCATCTGAGCTGCTCTGGACCCATGGAAGGGAGGCAGCAGCTATGGGCTGCAGAGGAAGAGGGCTGGCAGGGTAAAGGAAGCCTGTGGTGCACACCAAGGTTTTTTGAGAAGAACAGCCATAATACTAACTTTATGCTTCTGAGAAAACATTTCCATCAACATTTTTTCCTGACTTTTAGTGACATGTGGAAATTCACCCAGCAATCAGAGTAGATCCTTCTAGCTGGACCGACCTGTGGCTTTAGTTCAACCCATCCCAAATCCGGCCCAAAACCACCATCAGCAGCTCTTCCCCTGGACACTGCCATCAGCCTGCTGCATGATGGACAACCCATTCCTGAGGTCCCACTTCCACCCCACTGCTTCCCTGGGCTGGCATCCCCCTGACACTACTTCCCACATGTTGCTTCAGCAGGAGCTCACACAATACTGGGCTTGGTGCCACCCAAGGGGAGCACACCCAAAACCCGGCCCTTCTTGCACAGGCAATTCTGCAGGAAGATTCCTGCAGCTGTGAACTGGAGGATTTGCTTTGCCCTCCTTTGCCAGTTCGTTGGGGAAAAGCTGGGGCCAGAGGTGACCTATTCCCAGCACAAATGGCCATTGAGGCCTCAGCAAGGATGGATCTGGCATGGGCCTGTCTTCTGTAGGTGCATCACTGCCTGTGAACTCCTCACTCACTGCTGCTCTCAGCTATGAGGAAGCTTCTCCTCCCTGAAACTGTAGAGATCGTGCAACAAACTGTTCCCAGTGACCTGCCAGAGCAGTTCGCTGTCACACGGCCAAGCAGCGCTCAAGCTGTTGAACAAGATTTGGTTTCTGGAGGAAAGTGTTAGAAGTGGCTCAGAGGAAAGACTGTGCTACCATGGGGGTCACCTGTGTCCCTACAGCCCCAGCACAGGTCACTTGTGTCCTGCCTGCAGCCCTGTGGTATGAGAGTGACAGTGGCCAAGGGCTGCTGAGGAGTTCTCAGCTGGCAGTAGGACAAATGCACTCTACATGACTTTGCTAGACTGGCTTTGGGCTGGCCAGAGGATCCCACCACTGAGCACAAAGTTTGGAATGAAGACAGATGTTGGAGGAATGAGGATAAGCTGCAGCTTTCCTTGCCCTGGGCATGGCTTGTATGGGTATGGCTCCTCAGGCAACAGGCTTGAAGCAAATAAGAAGTGAGCATCCCATCTACAATATTTGGAGTGGCCAGGATTTTGTGTTCATGTTCCATCCTGAAGGTGAGATTAGGATGGCCTGGAGGATTGCTGCTCGAGACCCAGCCCAGCCTTGCTGATCTGAGCAGGGTGGTCCCAGAGGTCCCTCCTGGTCTGTGTTATTCTGGGATTTGATAATCTTGAGCAACTCTGTAGGTTAGTTCAGGGTTTCCACGTAACAGCACCCAGACTTGGATCAGTGAAATCAAGGCTCCAAACACCTTGGTCACCTACCTTGGTACAAACAAGACCCTTTGGAAAATGTTAATCTCAGCTGCTCTCTTGTTCCTGGACCAGAGATTGATCTTCTACTGGCCAATTTAAGATGCTGAAGCCAATGGATCCTTATGGCTACCAAGCAATAATTTTAATATATTATCACTCATCTGAATACCTGCCAACCAAAATGGTTTTGTATTATGCTATTCAAGGGAAGCAAGGCATTCCTAGTGAAAAGGATTGCTACCTATGGATCCTAGCAACAGGCATGTCCTTCCACCTAGTCGTTCCTGCAGCCTTCAGTCAGGAAGCAGGCAGTCTTCATCTAAATAAAACAGGTGTTTAAAATAATTTGCTGGGGCTCCTCTCTCCCACTCTTGTCTTTTCCCACCTTCATCATGCCCTTGAGAATAATCCCAGGAGAAAAAGCATAGCCTCCTGGGAGCAATACAGCAGTGCGGGGAAGAGGTTTCTCTGTATTTCCCACTCCAGGAGAGTAGAAGGATCCTCTGTTCTGCGTCAGACCTGTGGAGACAGAGGAAACCACTGCCTCCATCCTGCTATCCCTGCAGGTCCGAGATGACTTAGTGGCTTTTCAATTACAGGGTGTGCCTTCCCATACCACTCCTCCCTTTGCCTGCCGGATCGGGACTGCATCTTTACCATGAAAAGCTCCACAATCTGAATTTTCCAGGGCACAAATAGATGCTCTCCTGTCATGATATTCATGTTTTCCTTCTCTGGAGGAGTAGCAGCTCATTACCGTAGGGAGCAGCACTGCAGTGCTGGCTGCCTCTGTTGCTGGACAGCCCTCTTCCTGCACAATGAAAATCAACTCTCATCAAATTATTATGGTATCTTTTATTGCCGGGGTGCTACAGCAGAAAAGATGCAAATATCAGAGGAGGATTCCAGTCATTACCACTCTTCAGCCTTTGATTAACATTAAATACCTCTACAGGCTTCATGCCACATCACAGGCTTCCCACGCAACACTGCCAGGTCTGCTTTAGTGTGACCAGAGAGGTTTGCAAATAAGATTTTTTATAAAGCAAGTAGGTCGGTCTGCAGGACTAGGTTCTTGTTCACATCTCCCCAGACAGAGACACAAATCACAAATCATGAATCACTAATCACTAATCACAAATCACTAATCACATACACAGGTCAGATACCCACCTGATTCACTCTGGACCCTGCACCTTGAGCAACAGGGACCTACCCAAACCTCCTTGAACTCTCACCTGATCAAAGATAGTCTGGGGTCTTTTTCCAACCTGCATTCACCTGCCCACCTACTCTCTTTATCCCCAGACCAACGACCAGAAGAAACCCTTCCACATAAGACCCTGACACAGCTCTAGGGACAAAAGAGCCACCCCTCCCTTACCTTCAACCACTGATGCTTCTCAGGGCTTTACTGAAGAAAAAAGTTTGTATTTTTTTGTTGTTTGGAATGCAAGGAGAGTTGTGTTGTTTGGAATGCAAGGAGAGCCCACAGAATGTCTGAAGTCACCCAAAAACCCAAGGCACATACACACAGCCCCACCATGAGGGCTGCTACCAAGTAAGACACTTCATAACCTCCTTGAAGAGAGAGATGCCTTACTAAACAGAAGTCTCAGTGGTGAAGCTATGCTTCACATTTCCACACTGGAATAACCTGGTGGGGTCTGAGGTACAAGCACTGGTTCATGTGGGACATCAGGGACACTTTCATATCACCTTGAAAATACAAAGGGTTGTATTTTGTCAGGGCCACCTCTCACCATCTCCTTGCAAGGGAAGAGTCAAGCCATGGGCTAGAAGCTCAATGTCCGTATAGAGCTTGTTTCGAGTCGTTGCACTATTACTGCTCCCTCCTTGCTGAGGTAGGGAAGTCGTGGAGGGAATGCTGGTTTGGAGGGAGATCTCTATCTCTGTGGTGAAGTGCACATGCCATGAGATGGAGCTGCTGCTCTGGTAAAGGTTCCTTGTGAAGCTGCAAGAGTTTGGAGATTTTTTTTTTTCATCTTTCCTGAAATCAAGGAGGAAGGGGGGTCACTCTCACGAGTCCTGTCCACACTCCCCAGTGCTCCCACAGCCTGGCACAGCCCTAACAGCCACCTCCTGGGGCCAAGCCCACCCCCTCTTCCCATACCACTTCTGTGTTTTGCCCTCTGAGACAAGACAAACACACGTTTCCCTTTGTTTCCAGCTCCACACCTAGTTTTTTCTTTGCATCATGAAGGGCTGGCTACTCATCTGTAATTCAAAAGAAAGCAATGACTCACTAGACTGCATCGCTTTCCAAGGCAAAGCATTTCATGCATTTCACAGGCACGCTAACCCGGGTTATGAAATAACCTCTGCTGGTGGCACACATTCGCCCCATCACCATGTCCCTTGCAAAACCAGAGGGCTCAGGCTTCCACCCTGCAGAGGCACAGAGTGCAGGAGAGGTGTTTGTGCTTAAGTCACGCATTTGCATTATGTGAGCAATGCAAAATGCCATCCCCACTTTAAAACCTGGCTGGCCACACGCTGGCATTAACCCAGCCTAATTGAAAGGTAACAAAAAACCTGAAGTTTCACTTTTGCCAACAGGCTTCCAAGCACCAGGTGAGGGATCTCAAAAGCAGGCAGAGCCTTCATTCCCAGGCCAAAGTGAGACAGTGTTTACAATCGTCTCTTCTCCCTGGGTTGGGGTGGTATTTTGATACCTGTGTTTCCATCCCCCAGTGCTCTCCTTGCAGCCTGCCTGATACTGCCTGTCTTTCCCCCACAGGACACTGGAGACAGTGGATCTCTCCAAATTGTGCACTTTGGGCTGGTGTGACTGGGTTGCCAAAGCAAAGAAGAGGAAATCTCACCGAGGTGGTGAAGTTCGCAAGTTCTTCAGCAAACTTCCAGCCAGCCCTGGATCTGACCACTGGCAGATGACAAAACACTAGGCTTAGAAAATACCCTGTTCTTAGACCTCCAAATTATTTCTGAGTTCATATTGATATGTCCATGCACAGAGTGCCCTGTGTTTGCTTGTGGAGGGCAACTTGGCGACATTTTCATCAACTGTGTCAAAAAAGCAAGTAATTGCTGATCCCTCTTTACTGTACAAACTCAATGCTGAAAAATTTGGTGGGGTTGCTTGGATGAATCCATAAGCTTTTCAGGAGAAAGTCTATAATTCTTTATGCATTATATGTTTTTACAATCTTCACTTGGAAGCAGATTTGAATTTTCACTTAAGGCTCTGATAACCGTCCTATTGAGATACCAGCAGATAAGATCTTCACTCAGGATACCTCTGTGAAAGAGCAGCCTTTCACAGTCAGCAGCATTTTTCAAAGAATGCTTTCAATTTTCATATCTAGAGATATCATCTTAGTTGAATAACCATTATTTTGCCTTGAAAAAAAGATGCGGAGCCTCTTAAGCATCATTCCATTGGAGTCCAGATTTTAATCTGCCTCCTCTAACCACAAAGAGAAAATGCACTGAGAAGGGAACCTGTCACAGCCCTCTCTATTTTTTTCTGGCAGTAAAGAGGGGTGAGCATCATCGTGGATCCTTCCTCCCATCACCTGATGGAGTGCAGAGTGTAGAACCACGGATATTTTGTGCTCTGTCCTAGGCATATGTGTGGGTTAATCTTGAGTTTTTTGGGGAGCACTGGGTGGTTGAAACCCGAAGCCAGAGAGCTTCTTGAAGTTGGTTTTATGTGGTGAACGAATCTGTATGGTGGACTGAAAATGAAAGTACGATGAAAAAAAAAAAAAAAAAAAAAAAATCCCCAAAACCCAAAAGCCGTAAGAAGTATTTCATTGACAAAAATTCTGCTTTTTTCCGAATAAAATATTTACAGTCCATTTTCCCCTATGAGTCAAAATTCTGCTGCTTGATGGGTGATTTTGGTTGCAGAACTTCATCCCAGTCTACACCTTTCCATGCACAAATTCGAAAGAGAAGCTTTGGTTTGAGGTTTGAAGGCAGCCAAAGGGTTGCAGCCCTAGGGTTCTGTACACTCAACAGGGAAAAACAAATAAAGAGAGCTTTGAAACAGAGCAGCTGCTGCCTCACCTCCCCATGCAGAGCCGATGATGACGGCCGAACTTGGAGAGGAGCGTGCTTTTAATGTCCCACGGACTGAAATTGAATTTCTGGAAAACACACGGCACAGCGCTGGATCACGGTGACGGGGGGCTTGTTCTGCCTAAGAGGCTGCGACATATCGCCTTGCCATACAGATATTTTGCTGAACTGCAGCCATAATTCTGTCAGTACAAGTGATGGTCTATATGAGGGATTAATCTGACACCAGATTCTTAATCCTTCAGTATATCATAATCTATTTACTTTGCATGCTAAGAGGATTTCAGCTTAAAAATATACAGGAAATGTACATAAGGTCCAGAATGCTGTTTCCTAAAATTGCAGTTTTTCATAAAAAATATCCTCACATGGTTTTCTTGGAAAAGTCTTGTCCGTCCAGGTAAAAAAAAAAAAAAAAGTGTTGAATAGTGATTTAACTGGAAATAGGCAGGTGTTTCCCTTTAGGCTTCAGCCCTGTGACCATTTTCACCCTCCTCCTTCCCCACAGCATTTTGTTCTTGGCAGTGCGACATGAAAGGAGAGCTCTTCAGTACAGCAACTTCCTCAGCTGGGAGGTTCACCTGCAGACTTTTCACTGACAAAATCAAAACAGGCTTGGAACCAACATGGGATTTTATGTGCATTAATTGCTGCTTAAAGTGTATGAATTAGCAACGACTGGCTAACACGGAGGTCAGTGCAGGGAAAACCACAAACCAGTAGTTCCTTATTCAGCTGTAATCATCTGTTTTCTCTGCTCCCTGCCAGGAAGGCTGCCTACAAAATAACTGTAGTAAGTTGTGTTAGTGGGCACAACTTCTGAAACTTACAACAGAATTTTTAGTTATAATTCCTTAATAATTTAAGTCATGCTAGGCCATAATGGCTTCAGTTCCCAAAGCACGTCCTGCACCCAAGAGAGGAGTTGGTCACCCCAGCCAGCAGCAACCCTGTCCAGCCTCTGCTCACCTCTGCATGGCCCACTAAAGGTGTTCCCATCCCCACCTGTTCCAGCTCCCTGCCACACACGGGGGTTCAACGGCAAAGCAGGGACACAACTCGGAGCAAATGCTCTGGTAACCAGCAAACAGATCATGGATTATTCCAGGTCCATGAAGCTCTAGCATAAAAGTTCAGGGCAGCCCCATTTGGGGAATGTTCTCCCTTCTGTACCTCCTCCTGCTCACCTCAAATCCTGGCCCTTCAGTTCCTGTCAGGAAAGCCCTAGGTGCCTTTGGAGCAGGCACTCCATGCAGAGGCAGATGCGGGCACTCAGGCAAGAGGCAGGAGCTGCGTGGGGCTGGTGCTGGGGATGACCCAGCCCTTGGCACTGTGGCCGCAGCCCCTGGGCCCCTGGCAGCTCCGTGCTCCAGCAGCAAGAGCAATTTTAATTAAAAAAAAAAAAAAGGTAGCCATGCACCCAGCATCCTTCTTGCTGGAGAGGTGAGGCAGGAGCCAAGTAAGTAGGCAGCTCTCTTAGAACCGGGTTGCCCTAAAAAGCGTGGCAATCCTGCTGGCGCCTGCCCCTGGAGCCGGGCACCAGGCACCGTGCCACCTTACCTGCCATGACTCATGCTCAGGGTGGCAATGCCTGTGCCAGCCTTGAGGTAGCCCACAGTGGGAGAAGTTTGCAAAATAGGGAAGGTGCTAGGGCAGCCCCCCAAACCCAGACGTGCCCCTTCCCAGCCCGTGCTCGCCCACCCACAGGCGGAAGTCAAGTCTTGCCCACCCTGCTGGCACTTCAGAAAAAAATTGATACAAATGCAGCCAAGCATTGAGGGTACAGCCATAATTTGGTGTGATCTGGACCAGGTCTCTGTGTCTCCAAAGTCATCTGTGCTTAGCAGCCAGCTTCAACACCATGCTCCAGGTATATGTGAGTGGGACAGGAAAATGCCCCAGCTGCGGTGTGGGAGTTGCTGGATAAACCACTGATTAGTGGCACCTGGTGTTCCTGGCGCCTAAATCAGGGGGAGAAAGTGAGGGAACACAAGCATCCCTTGGAGTCTGATACCCCAAAGCAGAGCCCCGGCCCGGCCCCACTGTGGGGCACTGGATGAAGAGGTTTAGGACCACAACCCCAAAACATAGTTCAGGCTCCCCTTTTGGCTGTGTCTCTCAGTATCACTGATTTACTGAGTTATAGTGGAACACGGTTTATAAGGATGATGAAGTGTGCATCTTTTTCGTTTAAAGAAGACAAAAGGTGTACGTCTGGGGGATTGTGTGTTACACACCTGCTGGATCTTATCTCTCATGTGCTCACTAAATCTGGGAGGGCAACTCTGGTTCATTTTGTGCCCAGCACAGATTTTTTTTTTCCACAGCCCCAGGAGGACTGTGGTAACTTTTTTCCCCTTTAGAGGAAGGGCTTGGGGATGTGTAGACTGATGCACCTGGACCCAACACACGTGGCCCTCACTCAAACTGCCTGTACAGCCACACTTTGGTGATTGCAGAAGAGAATTATTATTTTATAGTAGAGGTATAGATATATTTCTTTTAAAATACTTACATATCTTTTATCTATACGTATGCGGAGAAGGAGACAACAAGAAAAAGAACCACTGAAAGAAAAATCCCATAACATTGACTCAGTCCCTCCCACAGCTCCCTGTTGCACCGAAGGGTGAGGGAGGCCACCCCCACTTCGGGGCTCTGCCATGGCCGAGACCCTGGAAGGCTGAACGGAGGCTGGCGCGGGTGGCTCCGGAGGCCGATCCCGCTGTTTTCCACCGCAACATCGCAGTGCCAGCCCCGCTGTCCACCAGGATGCTGGAGCGGGAAAGCAGGGGCAGGTGGTGCTGGAGGGGGGATGTAAAACCCTCCAAAGCAGCCGCGGGGAGCATTGGCACCTCTCACCCCACCACGGTACCCGCTGCCCGAGGCTGCCTGGGGACACCAGGGATGGGGACACACGGCACAGCCCCGGAGCTCCCAGATGCAGTGGGCAGGACCACAGGGATGGGAATTTGGGAATGCTCCCCGAGCAGCGCATCAATGGCCCAAGCAGGGGAGCCCGCGGGTCCACGCATCCCCGGTCCTCCGCAAGTGGGAACAGCCCCAGCACCAATAAGCAGCTTCCAAAAACTGGAGGGAAGTCGGGGGGAATGGGTGGGGAGAGGGGGAGATTGTCGAGAGAAAAAAACCGTCTCCCTATCTTCCTTGGCTGGACCGCAGCCGGCAGCGGCTGAACATGGTACGGCCGGGAGTCGGGGCTGGAAGCGCCGGTGCTGAACCAGCGCAGAGGGACAGATGTCCGGCTGGGTGTCCGAGCGGCCCTCGCATCCCGCCGCCGACATCCAGGCCCGCGAGTGGATCCCGAGTTTGGGGGCTGCGCCATCGATCCTGGGGGGGGAGGAAATTGCAGTTTCAGGCAGCGCTTGCCTGTCCCGTGAGTCCCATCGGCACCACGGAGCGCCGATAAATCCGTAACCAATTAAGCGTCAGCTAACGTAAGAGTGGGTACCCAGTCCGCCTCTGGAGAAGTGGCGCTGGATCCCCCCCTCCAGAGCACTCGCAAGCATCCCCATCCAACTGGGAGGCTCCAAGAAATATTTCCCTGCTCCTCACTCCCCCCTGGGAAGTTTTATGAAGAAGAGGAGGCAGGAGGGAGGAAGGAGGACACGACACCACTCCATTTATTTGTTTAGATTTTATTGGGGTGGGTGGGACGAAAGGAGGGGAGTTGCCTTACAGTTGAAGGGGTTACGGCATCAAAAGTCACACGTACACTGTCCCTGTCCCCGCTGCGGGGCAAAGCTGCCGGGAAGCACCAGCCCAGGAGGGGGAAACAGGAACGCGGGGCTGCAGCCCCGACCCGCCACAACGCACCGACCGACACAAGGGGCTCGAAACAACCAAAACGAAAACCAAACCAAAAAACACACTCCGAAAAGCCGTGCGTCCCCAGCCCCAACCAGAGCTGCTTATCCCTGCAACCCTTTCCCCAAAAATGAACCAAAACTCTTTTTTTTGCAGCTTTTTTATTTTTTCTTTCCTTTTATTTTTTTTTCCAAAAGTTTTGGGTTTTTTGGTTTGCAGGTTGCGGATCAGCTGGCAGCCTTTCCCTCCCCCTTTGCCTCCCTTCTGGGCAGCTCCCATGGCGGCTGCCTCGTCCCTCACACTCAGCTCTGGGACGGTACAGCCAAGCTTGTGCAGAGCAGCCCTCGAGGATGGACAAAGGACACGAGACCAGGAAAGCGTCTTTTTTTTTTTAGAGAAGAAATTTAAAAAGCGTTTTTGTTTTTTCCTTTTCTGTTCCATGTTAGACTCTAGATAAATGCCAACCCAACAGCGTCAACTAAAAATAATCGTGGTCACTGGAACGGACCGAGTATTTACATCATTCCCGCCGCTCCCCGCGGCAAGAGGCTGTACAGGACTGGCGAGCCGAGGCTTCCGCACGCGCAGGGGCTGAGGGTCCCCGTACAAAGCTGGGGAGGCACTGGCAGGGCAGGAGCGAGCCTGCGCCTCTGCCCGGGGGGCAGCAGGGGACACGCTAGGCTTTTAAATTTTCTTTTATTTGTTTTTAAACTTCTGTTGCGTTTAAAAAAATAATAATTATAATAAACCTGGTGGAGTGGTGCAGGAAGCAAATAAATATCAGTCAGTAGAGATGGGGGCGGCAGGACCTCCCCAGGGCATCGCCACTGCTAACGAAGAGGGAGGAGGAAGAACCA